CTGCTAACATGACCACCTTGAACTTCTGTGCCTTCCCATATTTGTTTAATACCCTTAGATCTAGAATGGGTCTCCAACTCCCTTCGCCTTGGGGATCAGGAAATAATGGGAGTAAAACCCCTTGCTCCTAAGTTGTGCCAGGAACTGGTTCTATGGGCCAGAGGCATAACAAATTATCTACTTTCTGATGAAGTAGCTTCTCGTGAAAAGGGTCCCTAAAGAAGGATGGGGAAGGAAGGTTGGGGAAGGGATGTGAATTGAATGGCGTAACCCTTCGAAATAATCTCCAGGACTCATCTGTCAGAGGTGATATTTTCCCAATGGCTGTGAAAGAGGGCCAGGTGAAGGGGCGTAATAGATGTGTAGATGGCTGCTGATGTTGCAAGGTATAATTGTTCAGGCCCTCGACTAACCCGTCAAAAGTGCTTAGAAGAGGTGGTTTGAGAGGTCATGGATTGGGGTGCTGACTGATTCCGTTTCTGAGCTCTGGTCCTCTTATGTTGCAGCTTGTAACTGTACTGAGATGGTTGGTTTTGAGGAGGTTGTGATCTGTGCTGTGACTGAGAGCTATATCTTCTCTTCTGTTCTGCAGTGTAGATTTCCGGGGAGTGTAATGTGACCTGGAATCCTTCAAGGTATGTAGAGAGGAATCTGTCTTCTCCGTGAAGAGCTTGGGCCCTTCAAACTGGAGATCTTCTTTGGGCAACACAGAAAGTTGTAGCTAAGAAGCCTGCATCATTACCACTGTCATGGAGACTAAGCGAGCCACTATATCAGCTACGTCCAGTGCCATCTGTAGCACCATTCTGGCTATTAACTGACCCTCTCTGACAATGGCCTGAAAGTGCTCCTTTTGCATCTCAGGTAAATGTTCCAGAAACGCAGTGAGTTTCCCATAATTAATAAAATCATATTTGGCCATGACAGCTTGGTAATTCACGGCTCTAAACTGTAATGTCACCGACAAATATGCAATCCTTCCAATCCCGATCGGATGGGGTTGACTTGGCATGATGTTGCATGCCTCGTGCTTTAACTGCATCCATTAGATGGAGTTGGGTTGCGGATGTTGAAACAGGGCAGTATGCCTCTTTGGGAGGGTTGTAATATTTTTTGTCAGCTCTCATGCTGGTTGTTGAAATGGAGGCTGGTGTCTGCCAGATAACTTTGGCAGGATCTAGAATTGGCTCATTAATTGGGAGGGCAATTCTGGATGAGGAGAAGGTGTGCAGAATATGCACCAGCTCGTGATGTGTATCTGCCACCTCCTGTAGGGGAATGTGCATCTCATCTGCCACCCTCTTGGTATGATCCAGAAAGTTTTTAAAATCATCACCTACTGATGGGGGGCGGGGGTCATACAGCCTCATCTGGTGGAGATGAGGAGAAGTTTGCTGGAGGAGCTTCCCCTTCAAACCCTTCTTCCTGTTCTGCAAAAGCTTCTTCCTCCCCTGGCTCAGGAGCTCTGGACAACCAGGCTGTAGGAGATTGTGAGAGACACTGGACAGCTGTGATGTGTGAGATGTCTACATCACCTAAAGATCCCAATATGGCCTTGGAGAGGGGGAAGGGCATGGGGGAAGTGGGGTTGCCCCAGGGGCCATGTACCACAATTGTGGATCAGCTCGATGGAGTTGAGAAGTCCCCTTATATTGTGACAGCAGGCCAAGATGAGGGGCCAGGGAAATGATCTCCTCCTTGTCACTGTCAGACTTGTCACTGGGTAAGAGTGGCACTGAGTGGGGTATTGGTGATATATGGCCCGGAGCCGAGAGCGATTCCAGGCACTGGGATGTGCTTGGTACCAGGGCCCTGGTATCAAGTAATGGGGATTGCTGTTCTCCCCCAGTTGTCAGGTCTCCAGGGTACCGGAGCTCATGTGATACCGTGGGCTCACTTGGTACCGGAGAGGATTGTCAGTGGTACGTTGTCAGTACCAATGGTTGAGAGGGTGTAGAGCACTCCCTAGATGGGAGTTTTTAGTGGAGGCCCCCTTCTGGGTACCGTGCTCCAGAGCTACCGGTGCCGTGGCTATCAAGGTGGTTGCACTGGGGAACCCCTCTGGCTGGCCAACCACTCAGAATCCTTTTTATGAGCCTTTACAGGGGGAGTCTGCTGGTTTTTTCCATGACTCTGTCCCCTTTGAAGTTAAAGGCTCGGGGATGATCTGGGGTTGGCACCGGAGTCCCCTGGAGACTGAAGTGTCTTCTCCATAAGGAGGAGTTTTAACTTCAGTTCCCAGTTACTGCAATACCACAGCTTTAGCTGGTTGTATGGGATCGCTTCCGAGGGATATGGGACTCTCCCTGGCACCAGATACTCTTCTTCTTTTCCTCTCTTTTTTTTTTTAAAAGTGATTTTTTTTAAAAAAAAAGAGAGTGTCTTCCAAACACTCTGTGGGAGGGGAAGGATCACCCCAGACAGGAAAGGAAACAAACACATTCTTTTTCTTTTTCTTTTTTTTTATCCCAATGGGATAAAAAGTAAACACTAACTATTAAGGAGAACAAAAGAAACAAAAACAACCACTACTTATGCTAATGATGCAGATAAGGAAGGGACAACTGCTTGCTCCATTCGAGGACAAAGGAGGTTGAGAAGGAACTGAGGGGGGTTCACTCCTGCAGTGCTAGATTGCCTTGAGGCAGACCATGAGGGAGGAAGAGAATATGTGTGGGCTCAAGGGACACTGCTACCAACAATCTCCCATTAGAGGTGCAGAAGCACAGATGCACCTACAGTGGAGCACTTATAGGGACAGTATTCGAAGAACCACCACCAGTTTGTGTGGATTATCCTGAACCAACTCAGTCTGTATTCCTAGAGAGGTGGTTACCCTTTTCATAAATTCCTGGTACATTTTATAATCGTCTAGGTCAGGGGAAGATGATTCTGAAACAGGAGCCTCATCTGTAAATAATGAAGAAGTGTTGAGTGAAAGGATTAGTGTCAATCTGCTCTACTGTCTGCTGAACATCTATAACAGGAGGGTCAGAAACTGGAGGGATAATCTCCTTCAGCTGCTGGGTACCAGTGCTGGTACACAGAATGGTAACAGTTAGAGAATGGCACTTTGATTGAGACCTAGCGGAATGCTGACTATGAGAAGATGACCTGGAGTCTGGAGAAACCCCTCAGATTCCAGAAAGTCCACTGCTGTACTTCATGCAGTACCATGCTCAACTCCAAAGGAAGCTATGTCTCAGTCTGCTCCTGTAAAAGTTATGCACAATGACCTGCACAATGAGGAATAAGGAGACCTGCACAATGAGGAATAAGGAGATGCTTAAGATCTCCTGTAATGAGATCCCAATATTTAGGATCCCACTTCTAGTCTGAAGAAGAGCCAGCATTGGAATGCCAAGCTGGCAAGGTACTGTGTGGAGCAGATGGGTTGTGGGACCTGAACCAACATATGATGGAGAGTACAGAGGAAGCATCTGGGGCTTTCCTGATAAAGGGACCTGCTGGACAATACAGCTTCAAGACTCTGGCACTACTTACAAAGGCTCAGTTCCCAATGGCACTGAATATGTCAGTGCCAAGGAGGATGCCAGTACCATGCTTAGAGGAATAGGCAGAGCCTGGACATTGTTCTGCACTAATAGTAATCCAGCACCAACAGGCATAAAATATCACTGGCTGATGCATACACCTCAGGTGTTGTAGATACCAAAACAGTAACATGCATTGCAGCAGAAGTCTATGCTTTTGAAGGTCTTGGCCATGAAGTCTATGCTGTTGAAGGTCTTGACTGGCCATGAGGTGTTGGAGTCGACAACTCTGCATTGATTGAATGTGGGAATATGGGGATGAGCCTCACAGGACCTGGTTTAGCTCTAACCTCACTAGTGGTCTTCTTTGAAGAAGATGACAATGAAGACTATGATGACTTTTTCTGGTTGAAGAGGCTGAACTGATGGATGACTTCTGCTCATTGCATGTTAGAGAATGATATCTTCTTTCTGACTCTTTTTGACATGGGGAGGCCACGAAGTCTGGCGGTGTGCTTAGAGAGTCGAATCTGAATCCCTGTATGACCAAGTGGCTGGGTTCCAAATGAGGACACAAAGCTGCTTCCACCAGGACATCTCAAAGTAAAACTGCCTTCAATTTCTTTGACCGGGTTTTAAACCCCCTACAAATAGGGTACTTATGCATAATGTGTCCTTCCCACTTCAAGCAGTGGGAGTGAGAATCGGTGACTGTCATAGATTTGCTACAGTCAAACAGCACTTAAATCCCAAGGATTAAGACATGCCCTGGTATTGAAAATAAAACTTGAAGAAGAACAAGATAAAAACAAGAAAATATTTGAAAATGAGTACCACTATCTAAACTACAGCTATACTAAACCATTTACAATAAAAGAATGCTAAAAATATTTCTAATGGGAAAGATGTGAGATGCTCACACTGTCCATCTATGGGTGGCAAGGAGGAACTGAGACGGTTAGGGCAGCTTTGACCATTTATGCCCTTAGCTACAAGCATGAATGTGCAGGAAAAGTGCATGCACCACTTCGACAAGTACCACTATGGGAATATGTTCTCTGGCTTCGATGAACTAGTGCACACACAACCAAAGTGGAATGGACAGGTGCAAGCACTTCAAGACACAGGGACTATAGTGGATCACAAATTGAATGAGTCAAAAGTGTGATGCTGTTGTGGAAAGGGCAAATGTCATTCTGGGAAGTATTAATAGGAATGTCATATGTAAAACAAGAAAGGTAAATGTTCCACCCTAACTACTGTCTACATAGTTAGAAAGTTAAGTCCCAAAACAAGTTACTTTGGGATGCTGTATAATCCCCATCATTGGAGGTTTTAAGAACAGGTTACCTGTCAGGGATTATCTAGGTATACTTAATCCTGCCTCAATGCAGAGGGATGGACTAGACGACTTCTCAAGTTCTTTTCCAGTCCTATGATTGTATGCTCCCAGTTCACCAAAGTGCACCTGGTCTTACTTGTTTTAATTAAAATACAAAAACCTACCTTTGCAAATTGGTGGTTGGGACCATTCTCCATTTTCACAAATTACATAATTTAATTCCATACTTTCAAATCCTTCCTGACATTTATATTGCACTCTAGCACCAGGCAGATACCTTCCCTCCTTATTATTTACAATATCAGCATTGGTAACTTCAGGTGGAGCGCTACATGTTGCATCTGAAAAGGGAGAGAGACAAATAAACATACTAGTAGTGAAACTCTATTAATGTAGTATCTTATTTTCATGAAATATGTTATGTTCCATCAAAAAGTGCACTTACATAAATGGAGGTGTGCTGTTATTGACATGAAATGGGACTGTATAGATCATTGTTGCAACCAAAGTCCTGTAGTGGCACCAAATCTTATATAAAGGGGGTCAAATAGAGTGTCTAAGACAAGGTTATAGTTTGCTGGTTACGGTTATGCTATCTGTATATGTGTATCATTTTTGTAATTGAAATTATGAATATTGGCTCTATACTGTCTGTATTTCAAACTTCTGCTATGCTTCTGGGTGACACCCCAGACAAGTTGGTGTCAGCTCTGAGTAGCCTGCTTGATGGCCCATTAAGGACCATCAGCTATACAATTGACCCATTGAGAGAAGGCAGATACTCCTTGTAACTCTGCAAAGTATGCAGGAACTTGCCCATGTGACTCCAGACTCCATTTTGCTGTAATTTTCCACAGTAAGGACAAAGAGGTGTTCTTACACCTGGAAAAGACTATAAAAGGCTGATGCCTCATCTCCATCTTGTCTTCAATCCTGCTTCTTACCTCTGGAAGGACTTTGCTACAAATGGGAGCACTACACAAAGGACTGATGACCCATCCCAGCTGTGGATGTACTCCAGAGACTTGATTTGAACCTGCAGTTTATTCCATCACTTGTACAAGCCTGAACCAAGAACTTTGCCATTACTGTATGTAATTGATTCCATTTAACCAATTCTAGCTCTCATCTATATCTTTTTCCTTTTATGAATAAACCTTTAGATATTAGATTCTAAAGGATTGGCAACAGCGTGATTTGTGGGTAAGATCTAATTTGTATATTGACCTGGCTCTGGGGCTTGGTCCTTTGGGATTGAGAGAACAGAACCTTTTTTCTTTTACTGGGGTATTGGTTTTCATAACCATTTGTCCCCATAACGCGTGGCACTGGTGGTGATACTGGGAAACTGGAGTGTCTAAGGGAATTGCTTGTGTGACTTGTGGTTAGCCAGTGGGGTGAGACCAAAGTCCTCTTTGTCTGGCTGGTTTGGTTTGCCTTATAGGTGGAAAAACCCCAGCCTTGGGCTGTTACTGCCCTGTTTTAAGCAATTTGTCCTGAATTGGCACTCTCAGTTGGGTCCCACCAGAACCAGCATAGTTACAGGAGGTTATTTACTTGTAATTGAAGCTCTTTGAGATTCGCACATGTGGGGTATTGTGCTGCCTAATTATGCTTAATGGTTGAACCTTCTCCAAGCAGCATCTGTTAAAGCGTTTATGCACAGTTCTTCTATCCCTTTCCTCTCTGTCTCTGAACATTCTGAGGATGAAGCAATATAATGGGTCATGGGCACACTATCACCTCAGTTCCTTTCACTGCCAACCCAGAAATACAGCGCAAAAGGACCCTGAGAAAGAGGGGAAAGTGGGTGCGATGTGTGAATATGAATAGCCATTTCAAAAAACTCTGTTTTACAAGTAAATAACCTTCATTTCTTCTTCCAGTGGCTCTGCATATCCCCACTTATGGGTAGTTTGAAAACCAATGAGGAAAATAAACTGGAGGACATCACAGAGCACTGCTCTACCAAATCTAGTATCTGCCCTAGAAGCCTAATTGAGAACATAATGATTAGTAAAAGTGTGCACAGAAGTCCACGTTGCAACTTTGCCAGTTGAAAGAAAAGGGACTTGCTTAAGACAAGCAAAAGACTCTACCACAGCTCTGGTGGAATGAGATCAAAGTATCCGAGGTATAAGAATTTGTTAACATGTAACATTCAACAATTCATTATTTAATCCTTCTAGAAATAGTCTAGAGAGACAAAGTCTGATGCATGAAACTTTTAGCATAAAACACGAATAACCTAGATTATTTTCAAAACCTTTTTTGTTCTATTTAAAGAATATGCAAGAGCTCTTCTTGAATCCAAAGTACATAAAACAGATTTCCCCTTCTTAGTATGTGGCCCGGGAAAAATGTCAGGAAATTGTCTGATTTATGTGAAATTCAGAAAGTCATTTTGACAAAAACCTGGGATCAAGTCTACGAATCACCTTATCTTTATGAAAAGACTTAAAGGGGGAATCAGCCATCAAGGCATTTAATTCACTCACCCTTCTGGCTGGTGACATGACAATAATGAATGCTGCCTCAAGATATCAAAAATAAAAAAATACTCAGCCAAGGGTTCAATTTTCTCTCACTGATGGTGAAAGGGGAATTGAACTGGACTCCTAAGAGGATAACTGCTCTGACTGACGACCACCACAAGTCCAGAAGGCAGGCTGACTAGTGTTAGAACACTGTTCAGATTTGGCCTGTAGACCTGAGACATCCAATGCTGCATTGGCCTTATTTTAAGATGCACAAATGGAGTCATACAAGTAGTCATGACCATGAGACCCAGGAATAAAATTATTTTCTAAGTTTGACATATTTTATGTTTAAAATATATTGCGCTATTTAAAAAAAAATCTGTTCTCTGGTAAGAAGATTTTTCACTGCTGCTGTGTGCACTAAGGAGCACATGAATAAAATTATGTGAGTTAAGTAGAGATTTGACTTTTTGACATTCAGATGTAGCCCCACGTTTCAACAGCCAATCATCCAAATATGTAAACAAAAAATATCCTGTTTTCTCAAATGTGATGCTACCACAGAGAGACATTTGATAAATACTCTTGATGCTGTGGATTGGCCAAATGCAAACACCTTGTATGGGAAATGGCGTCCTGCCACCAAGAAATGAAAATACTTTCAATTACTCTGTCAGATAGAAATATGAAAATATTTGTCCTTTAAATCGAGTTGCAAACCAATCCATAGCTGAAAGATAAGGCATTATGGAAGCCAGAGTTAACATATGGAACCAAAACATCCAAATGTACTTGTTCAGATTTCTGAAATCTAAAATTGGATGAAACCTCCCAGTCTTTTTTCTGCATGTGAAAGTATCTTTAATAAAACCCCTTGTCCCTCTGCTGTTCAGATACCTTATTGGCAGCACATATAAGCAGTTATTTCTACACTTCTGAAAGTAGCAGAGCCTTGTGAAAAAGTTCCCTGGAAAGGGATAATAGGGGGACTTGAAGGGGTTAGTTTCTCTAACTGAATGGCATAGCCCTTCTCTCTAATTTCTATGACCCATTTATCTAATGTATTAAGCCTTCATTTGCTGATAAGATGGGTTAGCCTTTCTCCATAAGAGGAAGGGACGAGTCATTGCAATTTCATTTTCTACTCTTGATCATCACATCAAAGCAGAAACCTGGTGTTCAACGAAGATGACAGGGAGAAAGCAGATTATTTTGATTTAGGCCTCAATTTGAAAGACCTCTTCTTGTGTTACCTCTGGAAAAATGTAGCCCGCTGGTGTCGTTGCTGACATCTTTGATTTGATGAGAAATAAGGCAAAGAAGATTGTGTATAATAGTGTCTCTGATTATGGAAAGAAGGGGTAGAAAGTATACTCTTAATAGAATAAATCAAACACAAAGAGCAGGCTGTCATTCGTGGCTCCTTCAGTTTTCCCAGCAACTCATCTGTCTTTTTACTTAAAGGACCATCTCTTTCGAAGGGGACTTCCTCTACTTTTATTCTAGTATTGAGAGCCAGAGTAAAAAAGCAAACCCAAGCATGTGTCCTCAGAGTAACTTCAGAAGCCAATGCTCTGGCAGAAGAGTCTGAAGCATTAAAGAAGGCCCTGAGTATGGGCTTTGCTACATTTCGACCCTCCATTAGGATTTCATTTGGCAAATTCTGTTTATCATCTGGCAAATCCTGCAGAAACAATGCTATCTTTTCCCATAGGTGGAACTGATAGCAGGCCGTAACTGCTTGATAGCTTTCTACCCTAATACTAAGAAAGGAAGAAGAAAACACCTTTCTCCCCAATGAATCAATATTTTCTCCCCAGTCATCAGGAGTGAAATATGCTAGTCCAGACCTCAAATTGCTAATGGCAGTAGCCACCACCAGTGAATTAGATACAGGATGTGTGTGAAAATATGAAAACACCTCATCCTGATTATCTTATATAATTTGACTTTCTTCTTAGAAATAAGCTGGCAAGGGGCAGAAGTGATGTGGCAAAGTTTGTAGATGATACTAAACTGCTCAAGATAGTTAAGACCAAAGCAGACTGTGAAGAACTTCAAAAAGATCTCACAAAACTAAGTGATTGGGCAACAAAATGGCAAATGAAATTTAATTTGGATAAATGTAAAGTAATGCACATTGTGTGACAAAGTTCCTCCTCTATCTTGGTGGGTCCTGCGCTTATTGGCGGATTTTCTTGCCTCAGAGATTCACCATGTGGGTTAGGGAACAGCCCAGAGACCTTTCCTTCTGGAAGAACCCACAGTCCAGGTCAATTGGGAGGTTTGGGGGGAACCCGGGCCTGCCCTCTACTCCGGGTTCCAGCCCAGGGCCCTGTGGACTGCAGCTGTCTATAGTGCCTCCTGTAACAGCTGCATGACAGCTACAACTCCCTAGGCTACTTCCCCATGGCCTCCTCCAAACACCTTCCTTATTCTCACCACAGGACCTTCCTCCTGGTGTTGGATAATGCTTGTGCTCCACAGTCCTCCAGCAGCACACCCTCTCACTCTCAGCTCCTTGCGCCTCT